TTTGTTACCTGTCCGTCTGTTATATATCGCTTTTGTAGGTAGGTGGGCAGTGAAAGAGAATGCTGAAGTCGACTGGCTAACAGAAAGGATAATATTACGGATTCTTCTTGTTGTACCCACTAATGTACCCACTTTTGTACCCACCATGTCTTCATAGACATATTTTTGTCTATGACCGGGATTCACAGACAAAAAAAAAACTTCTCATAGACATGGTGGGTACAAAAGTGGGTACAATAGTGGGTACAAACAGATTTTTCCTAATATTACCACTCATATACTAACTACTCCGTATAAAATTTAGGCTAAATAATTTTCAATTTATGTGCAAAATCAAAACAGAAGCTAATTATGTGATGAGAGGAGGATATCAATAATTCTTCCGGTACACAAAATTTGTACGAATTTGTCTATATACTGCACATTGTATCCGAAATGTGTAAAAATTTCGTTGTACAAGTAGTTTTTTGAGATTACATTGTTTTCTTGGTAATGAAATAATTGTGTGCATGATTATAAAGGTAACATCAATATAAACTACAAAATCCTTTTTTGTTTGTTAACACAAGGTTATTCTAGTTGGTTACAGTATTATTGCACTCCCATGATTTCACAAGATTAACTTAAGTGTGAAGTGTGATTTACTTGGACCACTCTTGACATAAACTACAAATTCCTTTAAGAGATGGGTTGTGATTCCATAACTAAATTAGACAAGATTAAAAATTAGAATAATACTGGCAAATCATCTAAATCATGACTATATTAATTGGAACAAACAGGAACTAGTACTCGAATCAGGTCAACTTAGGCACGGTTCTGTTCCTCTAAACTTAGACTACACGGTAAATAAATACGGTAAATAAATGGATTCGAACTACTATCCATAATCCGATAATCGGTTTTAAGAACGAGATAAGTATGCCAAAATTCCGATCCCGACTACATGTGACGACCAATGTTAGGGACCGTGAACTGGCACTTCTCGAATCATATCCGTTTTGATTAAAAGAAAATTAGAAATACTTCGTGAGATAGTCCACAAAAACAAATGGAAAACATAGAAGTACTAAAAGATATGTGGATGAAAGATTGAAAGATAACTATCACTCGACAATTCATAATTTGTGGTGACACGAAGACCTATAAAGTTCATGAATTTATATGCAATGCCCAAATACAATGCTTTTAGTAATTTGAAAGGTGAGAGAGGTGATAAAAATCAATGCTTGTTAATTGGTCACTTTGAACACATATGTCTCATATGTTATACAAACTTCAAGTTACTAAGTGTTATACAGCTTTCACGTGACCAATTTAATCAATATACTGGTTAGTTTCTTTGTTTGTGGAGATTGTAAGTAGGACTATATTGAACATGTGAACAAATTCCATAAGAAGTATTATACGTTGATGACTTGAATTCATCACATGCATTAGTCCTATAATAATAATGGACCTCATTGTATAACGGTTACATTCCTTTATAATTTCCCTCTTTCTGTTGAAAATGGTTAGAAGAAGATGAAACTCTAGTAATAATAATATCATTGTATGAAAACTAATAAGAGACTATTAATTAACATGAACTCGTAACTAGTGAACACTTTAAATGTGGCCCTTGAGTTCGGCTCAACAAGGCTAAAGCATGAACGTCGCATCTACCGGTGGGCGTAGCTCAACTGGTAGCGAGGGAGTGCCACAAGGGTTAGGTCTCGGGTTCGAATCCCGGCAACTGCGATAAGGGGTTACTATGCTGAAAAATGCATAGGGCTTCTGCAAGTACCGGTGACAGAGCCTCACTCTCTATCTGTCAGATTGTGATTATAGTCCAATTTACATCCTCCCATCGTGCCGTTCGGTCGGTGTTGGGGGGCCCTCAGGGATGGGATGTCATCCTTTTTTTCGTGAACGTCGCATCTACTCTTTAATGCCTTCACACTATCAAATGTGAAAGTAAAGTCATTTGTCCATCCATCATACATCATATGAACATTAACAAATATTGCGTATCCGAGTAACTTTATTTTCAAATAAACAAATTTATTTTGTACTTGCGGCGGTAAGTTTGGCTCAATTGGTTGTATATTCATCTCAAATTCATGCTATGGCTATGTTTCGCACAAATGAGTTGAAACTAAGGCTAATGTCTGAAATATGGGCTATTCATGTTTGAACTATAATTTATTGTCTGAAGCTGAACTTTGCAGTGTTGAATCTGAACTACTAACTGAATGAGGTAGACCCGTTTGGCAAAAGGAGCTAAGAAGTGTCTGGATAATACAAAATTACATTAAAGGGCATTTGATTGAATAAAAGAATAATATACTTGTACTACGTAGTGTAATGATTTTATATATTTTTGAATATATCAAGTAAAGGATAATATTTTGGATGCAGTAATGCACTATTTTTGTCTTACAAATTTCAATGTAAATCTCCATCTAGAATACAACCTGACAAGTCATATATGGAGTAGTAGAAAGAATTACGATACTTTTTACATCCCGAAAATGCGCTGTGTACACGCCGGCTTACACGCCCGTGTACACAGCTTAAAAAGACCACCCCCCTGCGGAACTAACCCATTTAAACCTCCATCCTCTCTCCTCCCCATTCCAGAATGCGACCCCTTCTCACCCAACGATTTGTCTGTCCTATTATTTTCGTTTGTCTGTGAGCATATTCTTCTCTAAAGTGGTGGTCTTCTTGCTGTGAACTGGTGATCGGCTTTGTAAGGCGGCGACGACGACCGGCATGGAAGCAAATAACACCACTGGCGGAGAAGACGAACTGGGCGTGCGTTGGACATGGCAGGATATTTTTGGTCTGAGTCCCGCTAACACTCCACTCCCGATGGAAGGGTGTGAAGTAGCCACGGAGGGAGGGATTCATGATCATGAAGACGCAACGGAGGAAGGAGTTGAACACACTCCGGCTGCGACGGAAGGCGATGATGGGGCGGCGGATGGCAAAACTGTGGAGGGTGAGCAAGGTAGGTGGTTATATAGCGCTGTCTCTTCATGGTTGCTAAGTGGTTGTGTAATGAAGCTTAACAAACAACACACACAGTCAAATTTTTATGTGGTTGTGTAATGTGGTTTCTTTATGTATTTCGTTGTGAGTTTTCTGACCATATGAGAACCCATTATGAAGTTCATAGACTTGTATAATCTTGTCTTCATTTCTTCTTGTAATTGGTTTGATCATTCTTTACACTGGTCTGTATTGCATTGAATATTGTCTGTATCAGATAATATTTTATTCATTTGTTCTTGTAATTGGTTTGATGATTAGTCTGTATTTCATTTGATAATGTCCACATTTAATAATCTTCTCTTTATTTGTTCTTGAAGTTGGTTTGATAAACAGGTCACACTTGTCTGTATTGCATTGAATATTGTCTGTATGTTATAATATTTGATTCATTTGTTCTTGTAATTGGTTTGATGATTCTTTGTAGTAGTCTGTATTTCATTTACTAATGTCTGCATTTAGTAATCTTCCCTTCATTTGTTCTTCTAATTGGATTGATCATTCGTCAAACTTGTCTGTATTGCATTCAAGGAAATCTGTATTTTATAATATTTTATTCATTTGTTCTTGTAATTGGTTTGATGATTCTTTTAAGTAGTCTGTATTTCATTTAATAATGTCTGCATTTAGTAATCTTCTCTTAATTTGTTCTTCTAATTGAATTGATCATTCGTCACACTTGTCTGTATTGCATTTAAGGAATTCTGTATTTTATAATACTTTATTCATTTGTTCTTGTAATTGGTTTGATGATTCTTTTAAGTAGTCTGTATTTCATTTAATAATGTCCGCATTTAGTAATCTTCTCTTCATTTGTTCTTCTAATTGGATTGATCATTCGTCACACTTGTCTGTATTGCATTGAATAATGTCTGTATGTTGTAATATTTTATTCATTTGTTCTACTCTTTGGTTATGAACTGGTTTGTTTGTATTTCATTTTATAATGTCTGTATTTAATATTATTTTATTCATTTTTTCTTTGTAAGTGGTTTGATCATACCTTGTCTGTATTGTATTTATTAATGTCTGTATTTATACAAATTTGTCTGTATCTATATATTCTTAAATCACAGATGCATATGCACAGGAAGACAAGGAAGAAGATGTTTTTCTGGTTGTTCCAGAAGTGGGCATGAAGTTTGAAAGCCCAGACGCGGTGTTTGAGTTTTACAAAAAATATGCTAGAAGTGTAGGATTCCCGGCTAGAAAAAGAACATCTACTAAGGATAGATGCAAGGGCGAGGTTGTGTCAATAGTAATAGAGTGTTCACGGGCGGGAAGTAGAGCTAGCAAGGCATTGAACTGTTTGAAGCCTCAACCTTCAATGCAAACATCTTGTTCCGCAAGAATTAGAGCTCGCAGTACTTATGTTGGGTCATGGGAAATTTCAAAAGTGTTTCTAGAACATAATCACCCCATGAGCCCCACAAAATCTAGACTATATCGTTGCAATAGGAAGTTGACATCAAATGCGATGAGACATCTTGCAATTAATGACGTTGCGGGAATTCCACTTAATAAGAGCTTTAACTCCGTTGTTGTTGAAGCGGGGGGGTATGATGCCCTACCCTTTATTGAAAAGGATTGTAGGAATTACATACGAAAAATTAGGGAACTTAGGCTAGGAAGCGGTGATGCCATGGCTATACAAGCATTTTTTTCAAAAATGCAAGCACAATCTCCCGGTTTCTTCTTTAGTGTTGATTTAGATGATGAGTCACGATTGAGAAATGTGTTTTGGGCAGATAATAGAAGTAGATATGCGTACAAAAGTTTTGGGGATGTCATCACTTTTGACACAACCTATCTAACTAATCGATATGACATGCCATTTGCACCATTTGTGGGTGTCAATCATCATGGTGAAACTATATTGTTTGGATGTGGCTTAATCTCAAATGAAGATACACAAACTTTTGTTTGGCTCTTTAAAGCGTGGCTAGATTGCATGGAGGGTTGTGCTCCAAATGGAATTATAACTGATCAAGACCGGGCTATGCAAAATGCAATTCAAATTGTATTCCCGGATACAAGGCATCGTTGGTGTTTGTGGCACATCATGAAGAAGTTACCCGAAAAAATGGGTGGGCTTGCGGATAAAGATCAAATCATGTTCAAAATTCATAACCTGGTTTATGATTCACAACACAATACAGAGTTTGAGGCCGGTTGTGAAGCTATGCTCCAAAGGTATGTATTTCTTGTGTGCATTTCAGGTTGGCAGAATATATTGGCTGTACATTAAGTATATCCTCTGAGCCATTTTGCATGTGTGACTGATGTGTGTTTTCTCGCACTTGAAAAGATTGTAGAATAGTGGTGTAAGTACGAGTATCGTCTCCACAGGGACGGACAAAAGGGAAATAAAGATTAACTAAACTTTAGCGATTAAAAAGAAATAAATAAAATAAAAAATGCAATTGTGCGAGATTGGTTGATTGATTAAACTAAAACTAATGCTAATGAGCGAATAAAAAAAAGATTTGGTTTTCCTTAATTAACGACGAAGGGAACAGGAATTGATTCCGGGGTTAACCAGATTTCTGGCAGATCAGGCCTAATCACATGAATTTAATTTAATTGAGCCTAGCTAATCATTACTAAGTTCTTACCGCTCTCGCGGCGTAGAGTACAATAATTTAGGGGTCCAGGCTGATCTCTCATGCGACAAGATCCTAAATTATTGCCAAAACGAGCGAGCTTACGGCTCCTTAATCGCTACTAATCTCTTAGCGAACGATTAAGTGTGTGTGAATGTGTCCTAGAACAAATTAGATCTCTCTTAATTCATTCTACATGCAATTGTAATTCTAGCTGCAGTCTAGGTTACAAGAGATATCAGTTAAATTATTCAAACACAAATTAAACGGCATTCATGCAATTAAACCGACAAGAATCTAGCCCTTCATCATGATTAACCCCTTCATCAACCCCAAATCCCTAATTAAACTACTCACGCCTCATAATTGACGAATCAAAAGAATTGGGATGAATAGAATAAATTGTCATTAATTAAAGAATTGAACTTACAAATAATCCCAGGGTCTTGGAAGAAAATAGCGTAAAAACGGTGTTAAATTCGTCCCTAGGCCTCTCCGTAATGTTCGTAACGTCAAAATATGGGTATGGGGGTCTTATTTATAGAAAACAGATGAGTTTGGGCTGAACTGGGACTAAAAAAGGGTTGAAATCCGCGTCTCGGGTGTACGCACGATCGTGCGTACCTTGCCACGCACGATCGTGCGTAGCAGGCAGATTAGTTGCCGCGTTGTTGGCTCTTACGCACGATCGTGCGTCCTTTTACGCACGGTCGTGCGTCCTTTTACGCACGGTCGTGCGTCCGTGCTCTTCAGCCTTTTTTCTATTCCGAATTTGACAAAACTTCCTTCATGAAAGTTGTAGATGATGAAGTCCTCTATCCACCCCAATTTGCCGAATGTGATTTGAATCATCCAATCAATAGATATGACTAAAATGGTGGAAGGTGTCATTCTGAAATCGCAGCAGAGATCATCTGACTTCATCATCTGTTTTCACCTTGATCCTCTCAGATTCTCGGAATGATGTCTTCATATGATTTGTAGCCCTTGAAGTTGGCTTTCATATGGAACTTGAATCGTGTACATTGGTTGTTTCTACAAAGAGATATGATTGAACGATTGACAGAAGGTCATCCTGATCGTTGTTTTCAAGCTTCATTCATCTTCTTTTGACCCCGTAGCCAATCCTAGAGCTCTTTTTCCTTCAAATCTTCATCGTGAATCTTCCGGTGACCTCCAAATCTATCAAATGATTCTCAAATGCTTCTCAAATCATCCCGATTGTTCCTCAAGTGCCAGTGCCGGGCTCAAATTCCCTGATTTTGACTACAAACAACACAAAACTCGAACCAACGCCCGGTAAACATAACTTGAGCTAAAATTGAGACTTGTAACACCTTAAAGCTAGGAAAACCATCAAAATCCAATCTCAACACGCATCAAATACGTGTCTAAATACGGACTTATCAGATTCCCCCACACTTAAGCCTTTGCTTGTCCTCAAGCAAACTGAACAACGGGACTTACGATAATCACCACACGGAATTTAAAATAGTTAGCATGCACACGTAGTTAAATGGATATTCACAGGACAAACAATCTAAACCAAGAAAATTCTTCCCTAAACTACAACTTTGTACTCAAGCTAAACTATTTGACACAATTATTCACAACATCCTCAAAGTAATGACAGCATACACAAATAAGCTAGCTACTGATCAGAAGGACTTGTGAATGTGATGGTTAATGGTTAATGATAATAGTCCCTTTATTTTGAGAGATAGGAATATTCTAACAAAGACTTAATGTATTTAGGAACTTCAGGGCTATTCTTAGGAACAAGGAATTTAGTAGGCCACAAATTAGGAACAATCATTTAAACCTATGCAAAGAGTAGACATGGTGTACAACTAAGCTAAACCGTCTCAGCACATCTGTGCTTTGACGTATACTTGAAGTACGCGGAGGACTAAAGCTAATTTTTGAGATAGCCTCCAAGTTTATTAATTAAATTCAGTTTCCCTTGTCATGTTGGCACGAGAACGCCGTTTCTTTCGAAAGATACCCAAGTCTCATCTTACGCTTTTTGACCGGGGCTCCCATTCTCTTTTTCGTAAGGCAAGAGGTCTAGCTATATTAATTTTTCACCTTTCGGATTCTCACTAGACATTACCCCATTCTAATCTCGGCCTCACCAAGGAAAAATAGCAATTTAAGTTCATTAATTTAAAAGTGAATCCATGCCTACAATGCAATCCTCGAAAGTATCAAATTCCTAAAAAATGACTGCTCTTACCCCATTTGGGGCATAGGAACAGTGCCAAAAATGGCTCCTACACAAAATTCCCTAATCTTGGCAAATTAATCCCTTAATTCCCTAAACATCAAGACTAAGTCAGAAATATTCATGGGCAAAGAAACAGGCCATTTGGCTATGGAGCTCAATTAATTGGGTAACAAAGAACAGTCAGGCTCAAAATGGCTTCTCCTAAAGGGTTCTTTCAGGTGGGGTGGATGATTAATGGAGAATTCAATGGGTGACTAATGCCTTCATCCTCTCAACACCTAGATTATAGTGCAAGCAATTTATGCCTAAACACTTCAAAGATGTTCTAAAAGCATAGTCAAAACGCTAGCCAGCTCACAAAGACACAGTTTAAAGGAAAATTTTCAAAAAATTTTTGCATGAATTTCCTATGAATATACAACTAACACCTGCGCATGCTAACTCTAATAAATCTCATGTAACAACCACTGCCCGAATGCCCAATTCACTCCCCCACACTTAAACTTTGGCATCGTCCTCGATGACAAAAAATGCACTATGCACAAGGGGGTAAAGAGGATAGGGTCACGCGTGCTCAACTTAACTCAAGTCAATTATTACAAACAGGCGATTATTAGAGTCACAGAAACTTCCCTAAGGCGTTGGTCGGTGCAGAACTAAACTGAGTCAATGTAATCCTCGGCACATCATCCCTATAACAAGACCCTGAGCTGAAACAAAAACACAAAGCAAAACAACCAAACAACAAACAAAGCAAAAGCGAAAACAAAAGCAGAATTACGCTCGGGTTGCCTCCCGAGAAGCGCTATTTTTAACGTCGTGTGCCCGACGATACCTCGTAAGCTCTCAAATACAAAAGACTGTAATGGTGCACTAGTAATCAACGTTTCCAGCTTCCCCTCAACAAATGCCATTAGGTGGCGCAGATTCTTAAATTCTCGAATATGCGTAGGCAGCACATGGTCTTCATAATCCTCATCAGCAGCACAAAAGTGAAGGATGAAACTCTCATCCTCTTCAGGTGGATAGGAAACATGAGTGAGAACTTTGATTACTCTAGGTATCACCGGAAGCTCAAAAGATGTCTCGAAGCAAAGATTAGGAGCAACACCGTGATCGAAGTGCACCATAGAAAAGTCTTTTTCTTCTCCACAAACAACATGAACATTCGCAACCTCTCCTCCAAACTCTGTATCACTCTCCATGAATGCATCCCAATTCGTTTCGTCACTCTTCTTATTAATATCCTCCAAGCAGTTGTGATCATTCTCCACACACAAAGAAATATCATCACCAAGGAATGGATCAAAGAAATCCAAATCTGAAACCACGTAAGAGTGGACCGGTGCATGTGTACAAGAAGGGAATTCTTGCTTGTGGAGCGGAACTTCTTCATTATGGACATCATCTACCTCGCCCCCACTCTCTTGGAGCATGTGATCATCTTTTCCCAACTCATCTTCAGTACCCAAACCTACCTCAGTAGCACAATCATCAAGACTGATCTTCTCCTTTCCCTCCTCAGGTGCTGAGACTAATGGTAAATCAAATGGCTGGGGAGTTTCTGTATGAAAATCACAGTGATCAGTGACTTCATCAGTTACAACTTGTACCGTTTGAAACTTTTTCCTGTATTCTTGGAAAAACAACTTAACACTACTATCTTCTTCATCATCTTCAACCATAGGTGGGTCTTCAAAGGCATCAAGAAGTGTATCATCCATCATGTTCCCACTATCATAGTCTGACTCGCTCACGTGATCATCCATATTGGTCTCCTCGGGTTGAGCGTCTGTGTCGCTAGGATAAGATCTCTCGGACTCCTCAGATAAAGCCTTTCTAATCTGCCCTAATTGATTCTCCATGTTCTGCCTCCTTGTGTTTGCTTGCTGTTGAATTGCCATGCTCGCCTCAATTTCTTGCATGAATTGCTTGAGTGTTTCTTCCAGGTGAGACAGCTTCTCTGAAATTATCTCTTCCACTTCATCCTGTGGTTCATAGCTCGGCAAAGACGTAGGAGTGATTGAAACATTTGTGTTCGTAAATTGTGGGGAGGAAGAAGTGGGGTATGCAGTTTCCTGGAAAGGATGGTCATATAGAGGTTTGATGGGGCAAAGACATAAATGGTGATCTCCTCCACAGAAAGAACAAATGCTATCCTTAAAACATTCAGATATTTCCTCAGGCGTTTTATTTAGAAGCATAAATTCAAGAATGGAGCCTCGTCTTACGCTTACCCAAGGGTAATGTGATGAAGGATAGTAAAAATCAGAATGAAAGAGTTGTGTGGTTGGAGTGTATGGATAAGAAGGCTGAATATTTTGTGGTGTAGGAGAGTAATTTTGATGAGGTGAGTAATATTGAGGAGGAGGAGGAGGAGGAGTGTAAGGAGGGTATGACGTATATGGTGAATATTCCATGGAGGTTTGAGGGTAAGGAATTCCTCCAGGAATTTGGCTGAATAGGTTCATCTCATGCCTCTTTGAAAAATACCTGAAAGGTTAGCACAGAAAAAAAAATCCTACGAAGAACTAAAAAAAAAAAAACTAACTAAAAAAAATCTCGCTGAATTTAATTAACCCTTAAAACCGACACCGTCCCCGGCAACGGCGCCAAAAACTGATGTGTGTTTTCTCGCACTTGAAAAGATTGTAGAATAGTGGTGTAAGTACGAGTATCGTCTCCACAGGGACGGACAAAAGGGAAATAAAGATTAACTAAACTTTAGCGATTAAAAAGAAATAAATAAAATAAAAAATGCAATTGTGCGAGATTGGTTGATTGATTAAACTAAAACTAATGCTAATGAGCGAATAAAAAAAAGATTTGGTTTTCCTTAATTAACGACGAAGGGAACAGGAATTGATTCCGGGGTTAACCAGATTTCTGGCAGATCAGGCCTAATCACATGAATTTAATTTAATTGAGCCTAGCTAATCATTACTAAGTTCTTACCGCTCTCGCGGCGTAGAGTACAATAATTTAGGGGTCCAGGCTGATCTCTCATGCGACAAGATCCTAAATTATTGCCAAAACGAGCGAGCTTACGGCTCCTTAATCGCTACTAATCTCTTAGCGAACGATTAAGTGTGTGTGAATGTGTCCTAGAACAAATTAGATCTCTCTTAATTCATTCTACATGCAATTGTAATTCTAGCTGCAGTCTAGGTTACAAGAGATATCAGTTAAATTATTCAAACACAAATTAAACGGCATTCATGCAATTAAACCGACAAGAATCTAGCCCTTCATCATGATTAACCCCTTCATCAACCCCAAATCCCTAATTAAACTACTCACGCCTCATAATTGACGAATCAAAAGAATTGGGATGAATAGAATAAATTGTCATTAATTAAAGAATTGAACTTACAAATAATCCCAGGGTCTTGGAAGAAAATAGCGTAAAAACGGTGTTAAATTCGTCCCTAGGCCTCTCCGTAATGTTCGTAACGTCAAAATATGGGTATGGGGGTCTTATTTATAGAAAACAGATGAGTTTGGGCTGAACTGGGACTAAAAAAGGGTTGAAATCCGCGTCTCGGGTGTACGCACGATCGTGCGTACCTTGCCACGCACGATCGTGCGTAGCAGGCAGATTAGTTGCCGCGTTGTTGGCTCTTACGCACGATCGTGCGTCCTTTTACGCACGGTCGTGCGTCCGTGCTCTTCAGCCTTTTTTCTATTCCGAATTTGACAAAACTTCCTTCATGAAAGTTGTAGATGATGAAGTCCTCTATCCACCCCAATTTGCCGAATGTGATTTGAATCATCCAATCAAGAGATATGACTAAAATGGTGGAAGGTGTCATTCTGAAATCGCAGCAGAGATCATCTGACTTCATCATCTGTTTTCACCTTGATCCTCTCAGATTCTCGGAATGATGTCTTCATATGATTTGTAGCCCTTGAAGTTGGCTTTCATATGGAACTTGAATCGTGTACATTGGTTGTTTCTACAAAGAGATATGATTGAACGATTGACAGAAGGTCATCCTGATCGTTGTTTTCAAGCTTCATTCATCTTCTTTTGACCCCGTAGCCAATCCTAGAGCTCTTTTTCCTTCAAATCTTCATCGTGAATCTTCCGGTGACCTCCAAATCTATCAAATGATTCTCAAATGCTTCTCAAATCATCCCGATTGTTCCTCAAGTGCCAGTGCCGGGCTCAAATTCCCTGATTTTGACTACAAACAACACAAAACTCGAACCAACGCCCGGTAAACATAACTTGAGCTAAAATTGAGACTTGTAACACCTTAAAGCTAGGAAAACCATCAAAATCCAATCTCAACACGCATCAAATACGTGTCTAAATACGGACTTATCAGTGACTATTGTCTGTATTTTGAGGTTGTATGTGTCACTATTGTCTGTGTTTTCAGACATCTCATGTAATTTATGTTATTGGTAGAGTGTATTGTCTGTACATCAAGTATATCGTCTGTGCCATTTTGCATGTGTGACTATTGTCTGTATTTTGAGGTTGTATGTGTCACTATTGTCTGCGTTTTCAGACATCTCATGTAATTTATGTTATTGGTAGAGTATATTGTCTGTACATTAAGTAATTTTTGTGTTACTAATGTCTGTGCCTTTAGGTTTTCACTGCACCATGATGAATGGCTGCTCGTGATGTACAACGAACGTCATCGTTGGGTCCCCTGTTACTTGAAAACGTTTTTTTGGGCAGGTATGTCAACCACTCAACGAAGTGAAAGCATTAATGCGTTCTTTGATGAGTATGTTCATTCTAAAACAAGTCTGAAACAATTTGTGGATCAATATGGACGCGCTTTAAGAAAGAAGGTTGAAAACGAATTTCAATCTGATGGCCTTTCTTTGACTAAAATGATTCCATGTGTTACGTCTTTGGCAATTGAAAAACAAGTGCAAGGCGTTTACACCATAGCAAAGTTTAAAGAGTTCCGAACCCAATTAGTTGATCAGTTGTATTGTTACGTCATCCCTATGGCGGATGGTAAAACATATGAAGTCAAAGAGAATCGTGTCATAGATGGGTTTGATAGGAGTTGGACCTTCATTGTTGAGTATGATGTGTCTACATCCATAGGAATGTGTAGTTGCCACTTATTTGAGTTTAGGGGCATTCTATGTAGACATTTTCTTATGGTGGCACTACGATATCAAGTAAAAGTGTTGCCTGATTGTTACATACTATCAAGATGGCGGAGAGACATCAAAAGAGCTTACACACGAGTGAAAATTAACTACGATGGGTGGGTAACTACGGTGGAACAAGAAAGGTTTGATAAATTGTGTAAGACTTTTGAGACCCTTGCAAACACAATTGCTGATGATCCGGAGAAGTGCAAGAGCGTAATGATGTGGCTAGAAAGGCAATTGCAACTACATAAACCCCCTCCTTCACATACATCTATATGTGGTGTGTTGACACCGTTACCGCAACCGGAGAGTAGTGTGCATGCGGATGCAACACAACAAATTAAGAATCCAAAGTCCGTTAAACGGAAAGGTGCTCCTAGGAAAAACCGTTTTAAGGGGCCGCTGGAAAATGGTAAAACCAAGCCAAAGGTATTCCCTGCACTTTCTTTGTTATTGTACAGACATTATATATAATTCCACAGACAGTGTACAGACATTAAAAGGGTATGTTGCCCTGCATTTGCATTATTATTGTACAGACATTATTTTTGCTTCAATCGACATTGCACACATACACACAGACATTAATATCATACCTTTGTTTTTTCAGCCAAAGGCGCACAATAAACGAACCACAAAGGACATTGCTAGAGAGGGGTACGGTGGAGAGGGGTTCACTGGAGAGGGATACGCTGGTCAATATGATTTTGGTATAGTCAACAATAGTATGACACTACAATATCAAGACGGTTTAGATTTAAATCTCAATCTGTTTTGAGAGCCCGCACTTATCGTTATTTTAAATAATTAGAATGTTATGTATTTTATTTTGGTGTAGTGAACATTTGAATTTTTGTACTTCCGTATGCACTGTTAAAACACAAAAAGTGTTGTGTACTTTGTTATATACAGTTGTCAAAAAACTATGGTATGAGTAGTATAAATTTATACTGTTTCTTTCAAACGTTTGACACATACAACATATTAATATATTAACAAACGTTTGACACATACAACATATTACAGACAATATATCGTTTGAACATTTAGTTAAACTTGTCTGTATTTCATTTCATACTGTCTGTATTTAATAATCATGAAGTAGTTGAACTACTTCATAACAGACAACATATTAGACAATACTAGAGTATGAGTCATATACAAAAGGGTACACCGAAATACAGAGCAAAAATCCACTATTGATTATACCATACCATTCATTACTTTTCAAAGTGCTGCAAAATACAGTTGTTCCACATACATTATCCATATGAAAGGGTATTCGTCATTGTACACAGACAATACAAAAACATACAGACTATTCTATAGCTTGGCCACAGACAACAAAAAATATTGGAAGCACCTTGTAGCAATATTGTACAACATGGCACGACCATTGTTGTACAGAATACTACATGCAAGCACCACTGTATGTCAAAAAATTGTAAGCAGTAAAGTATTGATATTAATTACATATACAAAAAATCTACACCCTTAGACATGATTCTTCATTCTACGTCATTCTTCAAGTTCCAAAGTCGATTGCCGAACTCACACCTCTTGTTCGCCATGTTAGCGTACTCGCAACCGGGTATGAAAGGGAGCTCCAACATTAGGTGCTCCGCAAAACTTAACACCATAATTCCACATTCCCCCCTGTCCAAAACACAGACGATATATGTTACATAATAATGTGTGACAGACATTAGCGTTAGAATAATTGGTAAGGATGAATGGTTCATTTACCCTCCCCGTTGTTGGGGGACACCATCAACGGCAACAACTTCCCAAGGTTGGAGGTCGTGTACGACATAATCGTCCGCTGTCCACGTAATAATACGAAGGAGGTGGGGGAGGCGTTCACGCAATTCCTTTATGGATTCAACGGTCCTTGGACTTTTCATGGAGTCATAAACTCTTAACACTTTTGCACGAAGGTCTATTTCAACCAAGACCCAATGCGCATTCCCCACATTTAGGGGAGTCAAAACCTAAGGCATTAACACAAACTTGATTAATGTTTGTATGCAGACAATTACTACATGAAGACATCTGTAAACATACACGTACCGTATCGAAGGATGACCAATTCGTCTTCACGATATGGCGATCTCCCCCCCACTGCCCCATGTTGTCAATTTTCTTGTTCAACAGCTGTTGCTACAAAAAAAAAGGTTATCATAAGAAAACATTTTCAAATAAGTAAAAATGCATAAAAGTTCACTCCTATACCATAAAATATGGTCCCAATAAAGTAGTTTTCGGCCGCTTCCTGTGCTTATTGATCAAGTATATCACCGCGTCAACATGCTACAAAATGTTATTACAAAATTAAGACAATATTCATAAGTTATTCTAACATACTCGCAACCGGATAAGGTTGTACATATACACTTACATAACCGGCCAACCACTTCTCCGGCATAAGTAGGTCACGAAAAAAGGCCCGATCCACATCCGGTAAACCGGGTACATGAAGGTCTACTTGTGTAGGGGCAACATTATCCGCTTGCTCCAACCAGTCCTTCAATTCTTTAGGCCGGTTTTTGAAGGGGTTTGGGAACGGGCTACATTGATACTTACACGGAAATTTTAATCTATTTCCAAGTTCCAGCCGGGTTAAATCTTCATCAAGTGTATCAACAACTGGTGCGGGCTCCTCAACAACATCCTCCTCCCATTGAAGATTGAGAAATGCTAGTTCACTAAACGGTTCAACGGGTAACTACACAGTACACACGCACACAACCCTAAAGTTAAAATTGCAGAAACTCGTGAAGTGGGTTTATAATGTCTGCATGCAGACATGAAGAAGTCCGAAGCATGTTACTATACATCGGCTCACAGACAATTGCATGTAAATACTAATAAAATGGAAATAAATGAAATTGGAGGAAGTGCACCTCTTTCGATGTTGTCACCACAAACTCTCCTGGGGTATGACATTCTCCAAACAAACCAAGTTCTTCGTTCATCAACATCAACTTTAATTTTGAAATAAAGAATGTAAAAAAAATCACAAAATGTGTGATTTCAAACACAATACGTTACATTAACTATGTCACTACACTTACTTCATTCATCACAATATTGAGGTCAATGTCTTGACTTTCACAAATCTGTTCGGAATAATGACTCAACATAAATAAAATACGAAACAGAGTTTAAATTGGTGTTTAAAAAAGTGTTTAAAGTTAGTTAGGAATCTCTCCAAGCCCACTAAAAGTCTACATCCTCAACCATCATTACATGGTGTCTAATGGTTTTAGAAATGTACATCGCTAAAAAGACCGTGTTCAACGACCACCATTCCTTCGTCACCCGTTCCCATTTGGACAGTAGGCGTATCCTAATACACAAAAAAAAAACTATGGCATGAGCAATGCTGTTTGTCACTACAATCATACAATACAGACAACATAAGACAATCATACAGACTATTACCATTTCAGGTTCTACAAGGTCATATGTAACCTTCTCGTGTACCGCCTACAAAATTACAAAATGTTAGAAATATACAAAGAGAAGTGAAGACAACCTAATAGATAAACACAGACAATTACCATTTCAGGTACATCAATCTCATTTGTAACGTCTGCCGGTACAGCCTACAAAATTCAAAATTTTAAGACAAATACAAAGTGAAGTGCAGACAACATAATAAAGAAAGACAGACAAATACCATTTCAGGTTCGTCTATAGCATTTTTAACCTCCTCCTGTACCGCCTACAAACAGACAATATCATTCAGGACAGACAACTTACTTGACAAATACAGACATTGAATTACAAAACAGACATTTACCTCTTCACAATCAGGTGCTTGGTCATGCACAACCACAGTTGGTTGTTCCTCATTCACAGCAACAGTAGGTTCTTCCTCATGCACACACACTACCATGGCTGGTTCAGTACTAATCACCTCAACCTCCGCATCAGTTGCCTGCAATATGTTTTGAAAATACGCTTTGTCAAACATTTTCTGCACTCACAAAGTTCATACAGACAACTATTTTTTAAGTACAGACACAAATCCACCAAGTGCAGACGTTCACCTCATCCAACTCTTTCCGAATTGCAAGTTCAAGTTCTGCTTTTTTCAGCCTCCTTTCAAGATCGGCTATACGTAAACACAGGGACTGGTTTTGTTGCTCCGGAACATGAACACTGCTTTGCTCATCCTCATCCTCATCCTCATCGTTTTCTTCATCATCCTACCACATTAAAATAGAAATTTATGAAATGTTTCTACAACAGAATTAGAAATTTATGAAATGTTTCTACCACATTAACTCATACAATACCTGAACATCATCTTTAAAGACAATCTTTTGCAGCACGTGGGCATGGAAAAACCCATCTGCACTCCACTTCAGAATTGGAATGTGTTTATTGCCCACCACTCTTGTAGCAAATTTAGGCGTAAGGTCAGGCAGCTCCTCATATGCCCAGACCTAAATACAGACAAGTTATAAACGTATACAGACATTCTTTATTTGAAGTACACATGTATACAGACAATGACATGAATACCTGCAAAGCAAATGGAAATCCATACAAACTGAACTTCGCATTGGTGTATTCCGGCTTACTTTCCTTCTTCTGATTGAACTTCTTTGGCTGGCCTTTCATCGTCTTTTTTAGGCTTTTGACCGTCTCCTTATAGGACTCCACCGACCACGGACAACTTTGAAACAGCTTGAAGTCATCAACCAAGCGCAAATAATCCGGATGGATCCTTGTTGGCGGATCCCTGGCTAGGAGACAACAATGGACCAAAAACAATGAAGCCAATTTCACACGGTCCATGAAATTTTCTCCGTCACGGCTTACATCATCGCATCCGAGTTCTACAATCTTATCCTTTAGCTTGCCGTATGTAACATCATTGCATCCGCCAAAGTATTTGTCAACGACTCCCAAACACTGTTCATCAACCTCATACTCTGGCCACTGGACAGGATCTTGGATACCAGTTATCCTTTTGAAATCCTCATAAGTGAATTTCAGCAACTTTCCTTCCACTGCAAACCACATTTCATCGTCAGGCTGGTCACGCACAAGGCGTAACAACAACAAGTGAATGAGTTGAGCTGAGAATTGTATGTGTGCAGCATTAACTAAGTGTCCCCAAGGCGTCCGAAGAAACTTCACCATCTGCTTCACGGAGAGAAACTCGCTCAGCATATCGAAGGCCTCATCGAAGCTGGTCCGTACAGAATATTGGGCGGGAAAGTAATCTTTGATTGGAATTTGCAATTCCATCCTGAAAAATAGTGACATAGAAATTTGTCAAAAACACAGACATCTCATGTATACACAACCCATGTTGACAGACTTCTCAATAAAACCATATAGACAACTGAAAAAACAAACAAACATATACAACAAACTACACAAACATCTCAGGGAAACTATATAGACAACTATAAAAGACACAAAGATATATTAACATAGTACACAGACATCTAAGGAAAACCACACAGACAACTATGCTAGCCCCAAACGTATAACAATGTACAGAGTTATAACCATATAAACAACTAAAAGTTGCACAAACATATAAGAAGACACTATACAGACATAGCAGGAAAACCATATAGTGAACTACAAAAGACACAAAGATATAGTCGTATTAACAAAGTACACAGACATCTAAGAAAAACAACACAGACAACTCTGCTAGCCAAAAGCCTCTAACAACAATGTACAGCCATCTCAGGAAAACTATATAGACAACTACAAAAGATAAAAACATAAATTCATACAGTACACAGACATCTAATGAAAATGATCAACCATATAAGGAAAAATATATATTCACACACTACACAGACGTATCAGGAAAACCATAAAGACACCTCTGTTATCCACATACTTATAACATCACACTACACAGACATTTGTAAGAACCATAAACATCTCAAAACAGGACGTGTGACATGCAAACAGACATCTGAGTAAACCCACAAAGACAACTCTAAAATCAACAAACATATAACAAGTGTGACACATACAGTACACAACAAGGAAAAACAAAAATCATTAGACAGACATCTTGAACAAACACAGACATGTAGTCAAAAGCAATCACAGTAGTTTGAAATAGAAATTTTGAGGAGGTTGGTTGCAGAACATTACCTTTGAGCCAAATCTGTCAAAGAAGTGCGCACCATTTTCGTTGTACACTTTCACTTGTGCTTCCGATTTGCCTCGACCACGGCCTTCAACTTCTTTCGTTACTACGGATGGGTTCTAAGCAGACCAGGGTGGACAGGGTATGGTGGGGTAAAGCATACCAGGGACGGATGGGTTGTGGGATGGGTTTCTTCAGTTCGGAACGCGGTTTCGTGGCGGAGAACGGAGAAGACGACGACGAGAGGAGTTCGATGGAAGAAGGGAGTGGGTTCGAATGGTTTTTCACTAGGTCCGGTTTTTGTTGGTGTGGGGATACGTGAGAGAGAACAGAGGGGGTGGCGGGTGGGGAATCGGGAAAGAGAAGGGAGGGGGTGGAAACGAAACTGGGCGCACGTGGAGGATTTTTGGGTGAGGATTTCGGAAGACAGGGGGTGGGGTGGGTTAGTTCCGCAGGGGGGTGGTCTTTTTAAGCTGTGTACACGGGCGTGTAAGCCGGCGTGTACACAGCGCATTTTCGTTTTACATCCACTTTTAAAACAGTGAAACAATATTATAGAAACATGATTTATCAACGATTGAGTTAAAATAAAGTATGATGATGACGTGATGATTGAATTACATCATATACGTGGTAGAACAAAAGAATTAAACAAAAGAATCCAGACATTTTTGTCCTTTTCAATCAATCTCTCCGGTCATCTCTTTAATTTTACGGATTTTTTCTTCTTTTTTCTCATCTTCTTCAATTATTTTATCTCCTTCAACAAAATATTAGCAATCTAACCACAATTTCGTTTATTCATCTTCAAAATTTTGGTTTTTTCTTATTCTTTTTCTTTTCTTCTTCAAATATCTTCTTTTCCTAACAACAACAACAACAACAACTTAATTACCTCAGCGCCGCAAAGCCCCCCACTTACAGTAGGGTAAGGTGGTTGGATGTATGCAGGTTTATCCATGTAATATAGAAAAGAGAGACAGAGAGACAGTTTTTGGATGACTTATTATAAAAATCATGTCGAACATTGCATGGACAGACTGATGTTTCATAACAAAGAAGAGCAAATAGTTTTTTTTTTAGTGAAATGATCTTATTTGTCTTTGCAACTAACAACATGATGATAGTTAAATGCTCGTCTTTGATCAGGTTTAAAAGTTGATCAAAGCCAGAAAGCAGAAAATGACATTCTTACAGCATAATTTTACCATCCATTTCAACTATACTAGAAATTAATCAACAAACAGATTGAACAAATAAATCACATTATGGAGCAAAGAGGAACTGAAGCATTTGCATCTTCATACTCAACGACCTGCTGCATCGGATATGACGGCACATATTGGGCCGGCGGCAAATAATTTCCCCCGTAATTGTTGGCTTCTTGACTATAATCATATCCCGGCAATAGTTTAGTGACTCATGTTACTTTACTTTCATCATAGTTTAGTGACTCATGTTACTTTACTTTCATCATATTCCCAAATCAAAAAATAGTGAGTCCTTGACTCCATTGGAAATGATGGAATAAAATATCTTCTCCTCCATCATAATCTTATTAATCTAACTGCAATTTATTTTTCTTCATCTTCAAAATAAACCTAGGATTTTTCTCCCTCCATCAATTCAAAACTGAAGTCTTATTAAAGGCCTACAACATTCCTTCACGTTACATTTTGTCTTGTCTCAAGTTAAATTTCCACTTAACGTGATTCACTTTTTCGACTTGCGGCCTCAACTTACATTTTAATTAACGTAGTTTAATTTACATTTTGACTTGCCTCAAGTTGCATTTCAATTAACACAATTTACATTTCGATTTGTCTCAGCAAGTAACATTTCAATTAATGTGATTTACATCTCGACTTGTCAAAATATACATTTTACATACACGCAATTTACACTTCATGTATGAAAGATGAGAGAATATCCGTTGGAGGGAGTAACACGAGTTATACTTCAGTGCACGAATCACATTTGCCGCTTATTGATAGTTGATATTACATTTGTAGCAACACCAATGATGTTCATTCACGTTTATTTAACTAAAACTTAAATCAAATGTCATTTTAATTGTGGGAGTATATATGAATATATGATGGCATGATGCTCAACGTGGGTCACACCCACCATATAACAACCGTTAATATAGCATCAACTTTAACACAAAATAAAGATATCATTAATATAAAACTCCATCCATTCCATAAATGCAAATTGAGTGACATTTTAAAGTTCCTTTTATATAATCGTATATAATAAAATAAAACTATCTCATCAAATAGATTACTATTTTATGTGATTACATTACCTTTGCAATTTTATCTTTCAGAATTGAAAAGTTACCCCTTAACATAATATTACTGAATCCAAGTACCACAAAAGACACATAATGATATAGAGTAACTTAACATTCATTGACCAAAACCACAATACTCCTTTACCAATGGAGGGATGAAGACATCAAAAGCAAACCCATTCTTAGCACATCGATCAGTCATCTCTTTAAAGGCCATGCAACATGTTGTGCTCAACCTCGGAGCCTGAGGCAGACTCCGTCCCAGAAACGCATTCGCCTCGACCATACACACCGCCATATCATGATCCATTGAACCCCAACATTTTTGAATATCAAATGAAGATTTAGGCACAATATTATAATTATTATTATTATTATCATGTGATGGGAGATGGAAAGGGAAGAATGGAAAAGGAATATTAAGAAATGGTGAACTTTTTTGGGATTCGATTGGTACAATAAACATTGGTGAATAGTATGCTATTATGAAAATGAAATAATATGACATTGAACGGGCAGAAGGGGATGAAGCCATTTCTTTGTGAGTTTAATTTAACTTTTAGGTGAATGAAATCTCCTTAAATAACAATTTGTACAGCCATATCATTATTATTGGTCAAACTAGATAGATGGGATGCATTTATGTTTTTTCCTTAAATAGTTAGTGTGCCCACACTTTTATTTCCACAACTATGAAAATGAAATAATGATGATGATTGACATCAAGAATAAACGTGAAGACCGTAAATTAAGAAATGAATCATTTTGCATCAAATTTAAGAGAGCATATTCTGTATTTTCCTGTATAGGATTTAGGATCACATAAAAAGAATATTTAAATGACGATTTTTCGTAACTATCAATTAAATTATTAAAATAAATGTTAGTTATATATTTTCTCATTATATTTAATATAAGTCTTATAATCGTACAAATGAATTATGTGTGTGTGTGCGCGCAAACGGAGTGTCACTATGTTAAAATGAAAAAATATACTCGTATGTGAAATTTTATAAAAATGAAATTTTATTCATTCAGTTAATTCAGTTTTTTCCTACAATAATCCAGTGTCGCCAATTTATGCATCCAACAATTTTTTTAATTAAAATCTAACTTATATTACTCTGTATTATACATCATTTTCTGCCATTTTTTTCAAAGAATAATTATGATTTGAAAAGTCAAACAATTTGATGTAAAAATAAATACATTTGGAGTTTAATTTTTTTATTGTTATTTCAAATCTATATTTAAAGGGGTTTTTACATCAATATTACTAAAATAAAACTTATTTGCATAAATATGACTATTCATTACTACAATGTAGTCTTGTAGTAACTTAAGTTCAGAACTTGAACATGAATTACTATAATTTCATTGCTACTCTAGTAACTAATCATATTTTTGTAATTCATCTTTATTTTGGTCATATTAATGTAATTATTTCATATTTAAATACATAACTAAAAAATATATTAAGAAAACATGAGGCCTTAATTTTAAAACATGGATCCACTTAACAAAAATTTTAAGTCTTAAAACATCCAGCAATTGAAACTTCAATTTTTGACCTTATGTATGCAATATCTGTGATATATGAAAGATCGAAAAGTTGAAAATTTTGATATGTCTTTTGTATAAATTGGAGCACAAACATAAAAAATTATAACACTTTAAAGAAAAAAGATTTCAATTTTCGAAGGACCCACTCTGATGTCCTTGCTTTCTACGTCAGTTCTCCTTCTGCCTAAGCTAGGTTTTTTTCTACGTTTTGAGTGAATAGCTCATGAATAGCTATTACTCATGGGTGTCATCCATCCCATTAGTAAATTCCTTTTTAGAAAGAGGAGTATCTTGGTTACCGGAGACAACAGAAGCAAACGATCTACCGCCCCAAGCCTTCTGAGGCGGAGGATCCCCTCCGCCTAATCCTTCATCGCCGATAGCCTTCAAGTTCAAAACATTTATTTTGTACTCCATATTATTTGTGGACAAACCCCTTAAAAGATCTCTTGTGCAATAATGTGACCTATATGTCTTCCTAATTATGAGGTGGGGTGACAATGGTATTATATAAAACTAGAAATTGACAAATATTATAAAAAGGAATTGTTAGGTGTATACAAAACTACAAAAGGTTACACTCAAGGGTGCAGATCTGACAATAAATGTCGTCGTCGTCGCCGTCCCAAATCAACATGTAGCCACCACAGATCTGATAACTAGGTGAAGGCATTGTCAAAGCTTCTCTTGTCGTTCATGGAATCGCTGACCAAGCTTCGTCCGTTGTTGAGATGCTGAAGCACCAAGACGAAGAAGAGCATCGACGTTACAGGCGCGATATATAGACAACTTGAATCGGCGAAATGTTGTGATCTGATGACATCAATGTTGATCTCTCAAAGAGGAGGTCACAGGTTCGAGTCTCATCCCAAACAAGGATGCTGGCATTAACAAGAGCAGATACTATAATAGGTTTAGAAGAATGTTCCAAAAAAAACGCGAATTACTTCTTTAAGTGTCTAGTTGATATTTCAACGTTAGTTACTTTATATCAAAACATATACTTCCTCCGTTGTGATTTTTGCATTATTCACAAACCTTACTTTGACCACGATTTTCTACCAATATACATAATCAAATTATTACATATAAAATGTTATTGAATTCCTATCAATGTGAATTTCCAAAATATCACTTTTTATAATGTTTACTACGTAGTAATACATAAATAAATATAATTACAATCAAAGTTGTGTGTTGACAAACATGAAAGTCAAATTGTTTCAAGAATTAAAGAACGGGGGATAGTATTATACTATTATGTTGCATAACAGATACGGAAAGTTAAACTTAAGAAGAATAAATCATAAAACTTGATTTAGAACAAATATAGAAAACTAGTGGGCGTATAGGTTCATCGATCTCGAGCCTTGGCTTAAGGACTTAGCCTTTAACGCTCATATTAATCAAGATTACAATACTTTGAAGTTTGAATGTAGAAGAACATGTAAATATAAAGGAAATATTACCTAAACATCAATTGTTGGAAGAAATGGGCTTCCACACCTCAAGAACACCATGAAGAACAAACAAAAACTATAAAAACTAGTTATGAACTAATGGATTAAATTGGGATTGGATGATCAATTTGGGCTGGATTGAAAGGTTTATATAGGCTTGAAAATGTTCTTTGATGGACTATTCATGGCCTAGTTAGCTTTTTTCCGTTTTAAACGCGTTTTAAACATGTACCGTTTTTTTGACCAAGAAAACACGTTTAAAAAGGGGGGAAATGTCGGTCCGTTTAAAAAGGAAAAAAACTCATACTTCCCGTATAAAACGTATTTTTCCCGTATTTTACTAAATACATAAACATGAATTGACCAATTGAATGAATGCACTAAATGCATAGAAGATCAACAATAGTGTAAAAGTAAAAATGAAAACGTCCTCAGCTCCCCATGATCTCGTGTTTTTGTATTGTTACAGTGCAATTATTAAATACTAAAATTAATTGCATGATGGCTAAAGCTAGCATCCTGAAATACTAAAACTTACGTAGTAATATACTACAAGATTTCTGATGTTTTTTCAAGCTAGCATATCAAAATTAAGATTTTTCTAAACCTACCATTTTTAGCATAAACTTTTACACAAACAATAATAAGTGTAGCAATCACACAACTTTTGTCATATGTCATCTGTCATCTTAATGAAAATTAAATGATGAGTTTAACTTGAGTGTTATTTGATAATCATATAAAGATAATGATTTTTCGACATTATTTTTCAAAATTATGTCTTGGACTTAATTACTGTTTTTATTTCTCTCATCCACTTATGCAATTACGAACTATTCTTGTATGTAGTAATGAGATTTCCTACTTGAATATGTGTATACTTTTATTTCGTTTTTACTATATATGTTATTTTATGAAATATATCATTTAAATGTTCAAAATAATACCCGTATTTTTCGTCCGAATTTTTGTAATAGACAACGTATTATACACATATACGTATTTACACCTTTTTTAAAAGTCAACGTTTTTTTCAACGAATTTTTGACCGTTTTTTTCATTCATGTTACCGAATAAAACGCGTACGTATTAAACCTCGTTTAATTCCCGTACCGTATTTAACTAACTAGGATTCATGGGGCTAAATTTCCGAGTCATACTTTCCAAATATCTTCACTTCAACTCAAAATATTCGAGCACGTCGTCTGATTTTTCTGCAGATTTGGGGTAACCAGCGCCAGTTGGGGTGTAACTAGCGCCGATTTGTGAGAAATTACACAAAATATATGTTTAACCGGCGCCGATTTGGTGGGGAACCAGTGCCGGTTGCGGCTCGGCATATTTGACGTCAGAATTTATACATGTTACCGGTGCCAGTTTCCTCCAGGGATTTTGGGGATGTTCCATTATGAATTTGGACATTATTCTTTCACCGAAACTGTAGATAATGAAGTCTTCTATCCACCAAAACTTGAATTACGTGTTTTCAATCATCCCATCAAAAGATATGGATAAAACATTGAGAGGTATGCATCCTGAAATCCCACCAGAAACATTTCACTATTGGTTGATTGGTTCTTGATGCTTTCATATTTTGTCCATGACGACTTCATAAAATTTGTAACTTATTGAGTTATCATTCACACTAGTATGCACGGGGTATAAAACAAATTCAATTCCATTTTTTGAATAAACTTTTGAAATATTTAAAACAAATGCAACTCTAATAAATAGAATGTAATTAAATTCAACTCTATAAATTACATAATAAAATTTGAAGAATTGATTGATCAATGTTTCTTGGTGGAATTGAATTTGTGTCCCTGAGATGCAAATTGTGATTTGAAAGTGAAGACGCCTGACTCCATTTCAAATTCCGGGTTACGAATTTCTACTAAAAATCATCATTTGCATCACCCTTGCATGTATTATTTGGATTTTAGGCAAACAAAAATAGCATTTGATTGTATTGAAATCAACATTGCACTTAAAGAACTGATATTCATTCTTTTCGGATGTATTAAAAAAGAAGTGATTTCATTTTTTTGAAAAAATGCGGCTTATATTGATAGAGAAACATTCAGCAAGGGACAAAAGAGACAAAGGAAGCACTTCCAGCCACCGATCCTCGGACCCGCCTGAGAACTAATCACCCTAGACAGAGCAATGTGATTCGCTAATCCTATAACGGGTCTAGATGAGCCTATCATGGCCAGAGCAAAACCCCCATCAACCCAGCCTAATGTAAGAGTCTGATAAAACAAAACAGTGACAACAAGAACAATAAAAACCGTAAATGCGTGGAAATTAAAATGCATCCTAATTATCATGAACGAGATCCAATGTCGTGGTGGTGGTTATGGAGGAGGACGATCTCACCCAATGTCAACACACTCTCAGATAATGCAGACAGAAGCCCCTGACCAGACGAAGCTAGCCAAGACACCAACAAAACTCCCCACATTGAGAGAGACAAACCACCCCGGAGCACCAGTGCCCGGGAAAGAACCGCC